ACAGGTTTAGGTGAGTACAGAAGGCGTATTAGGGACAGAACTGGATTTAGTAAACAGAGAAGCAGCCAATTTATAAAGAGGGGGAGTTACATCAAGAACATTGGCCCCCTGGATGAGAGGCGATACCGTCATATCTGTTTATGAACCAGTGAGGAATGTAGCGCTGTTGGCAACTGCAGGGAAGTGCCGTGGAGGCAGTTGACGCAAAAAGGACGACAAGAGTGTTCCGGCCAGTTTGGGAGAAAGATCAGTAGCTACGAGGACAGGGACACCGGCCATTTTTTCTGACACGCATTTTCACCCAGCCTATCCTGGATCCATGCGGAAAGTGTCCCCAATTTGTTCGAACAGCTATCACTTCCTTGATGGGATTTCTGAAAATTCGCGCCGTCCCACGTTTTTCTTCGAGCCTGTGGTTTGGTCACTTTTGCTATCCTCAATCCTCCGCAGTTACGTAGTAATGTCACGGTTAATCCGTGAACAATTGCTTACCAGACGCAAATCTTACCGGAAAGCCAATCTTCATTAAAGTTTTTAATTATCCAATTCCCATAATTGTTCCGAGTAACCAGCAGTTAGTCTAACTGGCAGGCCTCGTGTTTCCGGTTTTTTCTCTTCCATCGCAAAAAGTAAGGTCACAACTTATGTAGGAATATTGTTTTTGAAAATCTACTTGAAACCATTTTCTTTCTGCAGGTCCCCCACATAGTGATATATTTTGTGGCTGAACGCATCACGTTTTGTAGATCATCGCTGCTTGAGCTAACTGATCTGACTAATTAATGTCTTGCAACTCCAAGGCACCCGAAAATAGAAGTACTTTCTTAATATGGCATGTGGTCAGCCAAAAGTTTAAATATTGACAAACAGCTACATGTTGATGCAAGCGCCTTTCTGTTGTTGAATTAGCAAAAAATCAGCCTGACGCGCCCTTATTTCCATACAGTGATTAGCAAGTACCATACATCAGCCCCAACCAAATGCCTGGCCAACCGGGGTAACTGACTCAGAATCCATCTACTCAGCGTCATTGCATGTATTGGAGTGTGTATAGCCTTGAAAACGCCTTAGTTGATCTTTGGCACCTGCTGATGCTTGATGACTTGCCCATTATCAGCATTACAGAAATATAGACTGACGATCGACTCTAACACGTACGTTTTTGAAAAAGATCGTCGGCAGAGTGGGCGATGGGCGGACCCATTTTAATTGTAAGTTCGGTCACATAACTGCATTAAAAGTTACCGGTTTCCATCTCTAACACAAGTCATCGGCCCCAAAATATGCCTGCCGGATCTGCACTAAGATTTTTTCGGAAGTATTCGAAAATAATCTACCTAGGTATATGCTGTCTATCTACGGCCAAGAAGCATACTTATCGGAGGTTTCATTAACCTGCCGTTCTACATGGTTGTTTTTTTTTACGAACGCTTGTGACGCCTCCCATGATACCTTACTGCTCTCTGTTACATAGGGATAGTACCTTGACCAGTTCACAACTTTCGAAAAAGTTTTGTAAAAAGTAGTATTTATCTTACTCGAAATAAGTCATCGTTATCTCTGCAGAAGCATCCAAGGCTCTAAACTGGACGCGTTGTTCCTAAGTCTTCTAGAAATTTTCAAACCCCTTGTAATAAAGCTCCTTTATATTCTTTTTAAGGGCAGCCGCAGGCCAGTTTTCATCCCAAATGACTGGATCCAGGCCCTCGTTAACCTCCTAACGTTTGAGGCGTCTAGATAACGTGGAGTCATCTGCGATCCGATTGACCTCATCTTTATAGCGCGCAAAGTCACGATTAGTATCCATCAGGACCGCTAATACACTTTCCTTTATCTACACTAACTCAAAAGCCCTGGAGATCACTGCTCTCTCAGGGATGTATCGTGCCTAAAAATTCATCATAGTCTGGTGAAGCGTCTAACAGCACTTGCCACTTAATCGCTGTTCCTCACTCACGACGCATAAGTTTTCGAGGAAGTCCATAATCTAAAAATCTGTCCAGTTAACTCGCTCTGCAGTCTACCAGTCCTGGGACGTCTCTAGAACTCCGACCTTTCCATCCATGAGGGGAGACTACCGACATACGCCCAAAACTCAAAGGATAATTAGTGACACCGATTATGCAAAATGATCTTATTTTTCAGCCGAATCACGCAAAATTTTTATCGGGATTTTTATTATTTGTACAGACGGTGCGTGAATTCATGCCCCAAAACGGACATCCTGCAAATTATCGCCTAATTATTAACCGGGTTAATCTAAGGAGCATTAATGCCCAATGTGCTTGTTTTAACATCACGATGGGTTATGCGTGCAGGACGATGAACGACCTGATTTTGTTCTAGTAGTTATTCCTTGTGGGTCTTAAGCTGATCGTTTGTCTGCAGTACAAATTATCACTTACTTTGTACGTATCGCAGTACAGTTGATCTCCGCCTCTTCCCGAATTTATTCTTTCGGAGAGCACGTCTGAAGTATTCGCGGATTTTTCTAATTCATTTTCACGACTAAATGTATCCTTCATGACAAAAATGGTTTACCAATTTTCAAAAATTTTAATTTAGTGCGAACAGAGTAAATAATATCAAAATGTTTTAGGATGATAGTTTAAGGCATATTTGATGTGTCTGTAGTATCTGTGGTCCCTAATCCCCGCGAGTACCAGGGGTTGACTGTATTTGCAGTACGTGCACAGTTGATCGACACATTCTTTCGTTCCCCTACAAAGATGAGAAAGTATGGGTGAAGCTGCTTAGCTGCCCTTGTACGACGTGTGCGTGGCAAACCAACGGTCTTTAATCGTTGTTTTAAAATGTTCTCCCAGGTTTCGGGTTGCCAAACTCCCCAAAAGTACCATCGTCAGAAACTATTTACCACGCCTAGAGGCCTTCTCTGACTGTAGATGATTAGTGTGTTTCTCGAACTTTTGCCGGACAGCCGCCTGATTATGCCTCCCAACGTCCATTTTTGACTTCATTGCCTCATTTACTTTAACCCTTTTACCAATTCATACTCCATCGTCAATATCGGACATGGCCCAGGTTCTTCGACCTTACCTGAACAACTGCCCCCAAGGACCACGAAATTGTAAAGTATACCTTTGCTTGAGTACTTGGAAATTAGATTGAACCATTCGAACCACATGTCGACAGCGATAGCGAATACTAGTGAGACATCCTTCCCAAAATTCGTCTTCAATTATCTGATTTTCATGTTTTTTAAAGGAATGCAACTCTTTTGAGTATTTCGAATCTGAACTGATTTCATTTGCGAGCTGCTAATCTATTCCCCCACTGGAAAAGCATGGCCGATGCAGTGTTGCACCATTTGTTCCGTCGATTTCTTATTGCCCATAACTACTCTCAAACGCTGAGGGCCTTCGATTCCGAATCTGGCGATGACAAACTGTGTGGTTTGGTAAGTATTTTCGCTCAACGAGTCTTTATTTTGCTCTCAGTTTCAACCATCAAAGATTGTCAGAGAAATACAAAGAGCCATCACAGTTCTCGATGTTTCCGCACTTGACCGGATTTGGTCTGGCCTTGAGACGTGCTTTGGGTGTCGACTCGATAAAGCTCGACAAAAGCAATTTGAAATTTTCAAAATCCACACTTACCGGACTCTTATCTGCGAGGCCGTTAAGGGTAAAAGGACCGAAGTTGTGACTTCATTTTTCACTGAACAAAAGTCTTTTGACCTCACGAGCGAAGACTGGCCCGCGTGGCTAGGTAAGTTGGTTGACGTTCTACTGACACGAGCATGGCGATATTGAAAAGGGCCAAATTATTTTAATTGGTTCATTTCATTTTTTAGTTAATTAGTGCGACCCTCGACACTTATCTCTGCTATTTCCCTAACCCTAATTTTCCGAAGATGGTAATGATTTTTCTTATTTCATAGATCACCCTGCTAATTATGAAAACAATAGTTATTGCTGAATGTAACGTCGCAATTATGACTAAGACAGTATAAACGACAATCCTCCTCCCCATCCTCTTCCACCTCTCTCCTCATAATAATGACAGTAATACTAATTAACAGCTCCGACATGTGGGGATTACATATTGTAATGTCCTGAACTGCCAAGAAAATCTACCATTTTTCCCTAATCTCTGCATGCAGGTAGTCTTTTCGTCTTTCCACTAAGTGCTATCGTTTTGAGTGCACTCAATGTCAGACAGTGCTTTACTTGACCATCGTGAACATTAGGGGTTTCTCATTTGCGTGGTCGGGTTCGTTCAGATTTTTATTACTTTATGGTGAAATTTGCCTGTCCTGCTACATGTATTTCATCACGAACCACTTCAGCGAACCTGTTCACGACTGACTGAAAACAGTACGTACTCACAAAATGACCGTTCTGGCCCCCCTTCCTTTTTTACCGGTAATGCTTCTCGATAGCACAGTAGACCACATATTGTTGAGGTCATGCGACCATCATCCACTTCGAGGTCTATTTATTCAAGACACCGTAAGATAAGAGAGAAAAGTAAATGATCATACAGCAACGTAAACGAGGCCACGAAAGCACATACCATTCCGTCTAGTAGAATCAACCACTGGCCGTCGTCGGGACGTCCTAATCGTTGTCGAAATTTTTTGTCTCACATGCCACCCCGTCGGCGCCAGTAGCAGTTGTTCACAGCCGCCGACTTCCGCCTTTATTTCTCCATCCTTTTATACTCATCAGTTGTCCTCCACATTTTGGGGTGTTTCGATAAGCCGCATCGTGGACTGTTGTGACTCTCTGCCAGACAGCCTACGGCCATGTCATTAGCCAAACTGACTATACCCCCCCCCCTCCAGTGCCCGTCTAAAGTCTACTTTCGAAAAACTATGCTCTCTTATCTGCCTGAGACGACGAGCTAAGACCTTGATCTGCTGTCTGTAATTTCAGCTTTATCATTCACACCGGATCCTTCGAGGACTGCTCCCTTCAGCCACTATTTTACTCGAACATGGAGGGATATCCTTTTGTTGTCAATCAGCAACTATCTGTGCATCATTTTTGCTGCAGTACTGCCCAACCCGGTTGACCTCCCCGCGCCAGCTAATGTGAGCATTTTCTCTCATTTCATCGCTCTTTGAGGTTTTGCTGTTTGCTTCTGAAAGTCTGATTGGTTGCTTCCTTCACGTGTATTTAACATCCCGGACAGTATTTCCAGTTCATGCGCTCACTCCACGGGTTTTCTGCTCAAGTCTGTTGCATTTTAATGGGTATTATCAGCTCTGAAATTATTTCGTGTACTCAGAACGGAAAAAGTTCCCGTGGAAGCAGGATTAAGTTAAGCCTTGTCCCAGATGTATCCGCCTTTATTAATCTTTAAATATCCTTTTTGAATGTTTACTCAGGGCTTTGGTTCTGCAACAAGATACGTGCAAAACTGTCCGTGGATTGCTTTTCAATACAGTCAACAGCACGGACTCTTTTTGAAATTGTGTTCAGTTTACTTTAGAAGATCAGTTAAGTAGCAAAGACCTTAAAACCAGCCACTTATTACCCCACAGGGGTATGACAATTCCTGTTTTTGCGCCTTACAATACCTATGTGATCATTGGCAAGAATTTGTTCAAGCATTTGTGAACTCGCCTTCAGTGTTAGGTTTTGGCGTCCAGGTCCTCGCTGAAGTAGCTGTCTGCACTCCTTCTTCCCGCCGATAGTTTTGGCCTTCGAAACGTCGTGCAGTCAGAAGTGCAATCTGCGGCAGACAACCCTGCATTTAGTAGACCATGAAGAAGTAAACTGTCAGTGGATTAATGGGGTCACAATACCATTGTGGACAAATGTGTGCAGAATTTGTACACGACTAGCTTTTGGCATCTTACTTGCAACTTTTTTCATCTTTTTACGGCTTGCACCCCCCCCCCCCCATGTAGCCCTAAAAGGCCCTCAAGCACGTTTGGGGGTGCATTTTAATTGTCAGTTCTGAATTATGGTGAAACGGTACCAAGGAATTTCTAGGGATACCTAAGTGCTGGACTTTGGTCGAATTGAGTAGCTTTTATTGACGGACCGCGATGTTGCGTTAGATCTGACCTTGGGCCCGTAGCTCGCCCAAGACGAAGGGCTTTATTCAGTCCCAGATACTGTTCGCACTTTAACCCATAGGCGGTCTAACTTGAATTTGCCACTGGCGTGTGCAAAAAAAATCAAGGCGATTTTATCGATCCAATTCTGATCCACACCTTTCTTCCTATTTACTATAAACCAACACACCTTTAAATGGTCATGATACGCCTGGGGTCTTGGCACAAGAATTTGTCACCTGACGGGATAACTAGGACCTCCTTCACACTGAGACAGACTACAATGGGTCCTTCTCAGTGTTATTATTGTAGTAACTCTTCGATGAGAGATCCTAGACTCTTTTACTTGAAGCTTATTCTGGTGCTTATGGGGAGCATCACGTATGTGCCACTAATACGTTTAAATTCCGTCACAGCACTCATGACGACCTCATTCGTTTTAACTTCTTCTAGCCCCTGGAACATGACGGGTGTGGAAAAATCAAGTTAAGTTGCTAGCATATAGCTCTTCCTTCTTATAACATGTACCTTCATCGGTCAGGTCTGTAAACTGGTGTTTCAGTATGCATGTAAGTTACCACTGCGTCCCAATTACAGTGGCGGCTGTCATTGCTTGCTACGCTTAGAACTGTCAGTGTATAGGGAGTGTACGCCGACCATGGGGTTATTTCCACTAGAATATAGGGACGCTCATGCCTCCTAGAACTGCTAAAGTTTTTTTATCGAGAGGATCGTCGAACGCACCCCCTCCTCACATGTTTGAATTTTGCACTCGAAATGGAGGCATGAAGAGCACGGGCTTTGTTTTAACGTTTACTTGAGGTCACGATTGCTGACTCAGAGAGACCTCACTAAATATATCGGAAAATTAAACATTTTAAGTCAATTTTGTTATTTCCTTGACACCATTCTTCGAGTTAAATGGCAGGGAGGAAAGGATTGTGTGGCCTCTTTTACCTGAGACATTTTGTTGTTATGTTTTCCCTGCAATTCTTATTCGATCGAAACGTCGCATTGGCTTATTTGCGGTGTTCGATTAGTCATATTCTGATATGCGATTTCTGCGAATTACTTACTTTTAATGTGTGCACGTAAGCTGTTGGTCCTATAAAATACCGTAGATAATGTACGTTTGAAAGAACTTAGTTTTACATGTTCTGACTGTTCTTTGCTACTGTTTTTTACTCTACATTTTAATGTCTACATCAAGTAAAGTCTGTCTACATGAACATCGAGCGTTCCGTTGCATATTTATGGGGAACTTCCGATCCTCCTTTGTATCTCGGTTTTTGCCATATTATTGTTCGGTGGTGCCTAATGGAGATTTTCTTTTTTTAATATTAAGCGTTACTGACGCCTTCCAAAATTTACTTTATTTTTAAAATAATGTTTGAGATTCCTCCACTTTCAGAGGACTAGTAATTGATGTACTTTGCAGTATCGCGAGCTTTGCTTGTTGTCCTACGGTAAGCCTTAGTATTTTCGCCCATTGAGCCTGTAAAAATAGGACTGCATTGTAAAATATCAGCGTTCTTCATCCAGTGACCCCAGGACATCTACAAATGAGTCAGGTTTGTAAGGCACGACGATCGCAAATTTTTGCATAGTTGGTGACTACTTTTTCCAAAAGACTGTCAAAACCTCTAATTAGATATCAAACTCGCATACTAATAAAAGCATCCTTCTAGTGAATAAAACGATGACTGTTCCAGTCACTTTTATGCGCGTTCTTACGCCTTCATTCTTCATAAACTGTAGATGTCCACCCCTAATTCTGCCATTTCGTGTCCCCCTGATCGGCCGATCGACGACTTTGCGGAAATTCCCTCTGGTTCGTCTCAGAAACAACGCTGAATTAACAGTTGGCTTATCTCAGTCGTAGTACTTGTTTGACATTGTTCAGCTGCTCATACTTGCTCTACTTTTGGTTATTCGGTTTTTACTTTGGTTTAACTCGCATAATTTTCCTTCCTCAAATAAATGGAGTGCTTTCTCTGACCTTATTTGATGCACCGGCTGAAGATCAATTATTGTTTTTGGCCAGAGTTCTAACGGTTTTGTGGCATTCCCGCCTCTCATAGTTGTCTCTAATCTCGATAGAGGATGGTCTTTTTGGACGTGCCTGTGCTGTATGTCACCGTAGTTGGCGCCCATCTGCGGAACTCAAGTTCTTTACCAAAAGGCTACAAGCCCCCCCTCCCAACCATTCTGTATTTTGTGTATTAACTCGGGAGCTTGTAAGCACACTGAAGCTTACGGGTCGCTGCTCAACTGAGAGTTCGCCATTTCGGCCAATATTTATGGACTGCCGCATTCAAGGATTGCACGGGTTCCCGTAGGACTTAGATAATGAATCTGTTTCGCGGAGAGTTTTGTCCAAAGCATCTGAAAACGAGGAGACTTTGGTCCGCTCGTGCATAGATATATATATATATATATATATATATATATATATATAGTGTCAGGGGGCGCTCACCGATCGTTCATACGGAACTCACTCGTTCCGTTGTGCCTTATGGACTCTCTCTCGAGCCCAACCAGCAGCCGCACAGCGGCGCATGATATATAGGCAGAATGATATTACCGACAAAGACAAGGGTATTTATCAATGACAGAGAA